TAGCGTCGTCAATCGACTGATGTACTATTCAGTCGGTTGATGAGCTGGCCGATGAGTGCCACTCATACACCATCGGTCGACTGATGAGAACCATCAGTCAACTGATGAGCTGCTTCAGTCGAGTGATAATAGTCAATCGACTGAGCAGAAACTTTCAGCAATTGCCGAACAGTTCATCGGTCGACTGATGAACAACATCAATCGACTAATGGGCTGCTTCGGTTGACTGACAAGAATCAATTGACTGAGCAGAGACTTTCAGCAATTGTCGAACAATTTATCGGTCGACTGATGCATAGCGTCAGACGACTGATAACCGAGCACAACCCAGATATGAATAGAGAATATGATTTTCAAATGTGCTTTAAAAATAGCAAATAAATTCTAAAAAATATAAAACTTTATGAAATATTTATAAACATAAATATAAACATGTTAGAAAAGAAATTTTTAAAATATCATTTCCCAATTGTGAAAACTTATCATTTTTCAAAATGGTCAAAAATACGGTTTTAGAAGTGTGTGTAGGTGAACCCCAATTGCTTCAAATGTTATCTACTATAATTCTTACCTACATTATGATCTAGAGAGAAAATAAAAATGTAAATATCGCTCACATATGTATACAACTCTTGAGACTCGATATTTCCTAATTTGTTGATGAAGCTCCTCTTGTATATGTTGCACTTGAGTGCTTTTCTTCATCAATTTGCCTCCTCCTCCACGGATATCATTGTTATGGTACAATTTTCATCCAACCTCCAATTATGGCACTATATTGCTTGATCAAATATTTTCCTGCACAATATCACTTAGCAAGCAATTAGCATCGATAATGAGCTTTGTAAATCATAATCAAAATACAATACCTAACACTGTCCGGGTCTAAGCAGGCCGGGTCGCGGGTCAACCCGGTTATTTTCTTTTTTTTTAATTGCTTAAAAGTTAGTTTTTAAAAAAATAAAGAGTAATTAAGATATGCAAAATTTGGACAAAAATTCAATCATATTATTAATCAATTATAAATATACAATTTGCAAATATAAATATCATAGAAATTAAAATGATAAAATATTAATTATTAGTCACTAATAGTTATAATTTTTTTTTTAAATTCATCACATCACAATAGATCAATACATTCCAACTAGATTGCCACCTACTCATCTATATCACTATCATTTGTAACTTTTTCTAAAATAATTTATCATAAATTTGTAGCTAAGAAATAAAAATCACAAACTAATTTCTACTATCTATCTCTTTCTCCTATTATCAACTCATTAAGACTATCTTCAATACTAGCTATCCGATTGGTGCTTGAGTTTTCTTTTCGGATCTCCACCAATCTTGTAGGCACATTACCGCCGGTACGGTAGACAGATCTAACAATATTCTGTAGTCATCCATCGAACGTCCTGATGTGCTGAATGAGCTTTCGAAGCTACTTTAGAAACCTACACTGTTAGTGAGTCATGAGCCATGATAAAAAGTATATGATATGACACTATTCCATATACTCTCCACTATTACAAAATATCGAAATCATCATTTTGAGAATTAACTAAAGGTGTGGTTATTATTGTTCAATTTTAAAACTTTCCTTGATGATGATCCAGATCCAAATCCACGGCAACTACTAGTTAGCCTCACTATCATCGATTGTCTATAGAAACTCACACATTTGTCCCTTGTTGAACTTGTAGAAGCTATAGGTTAAGGTGTACTTACATCATATCTACGTACATACTCATTATATAATCTTTGAAAATAATATTTAATAGTGTTATGATGAGTAAGAGTTGTAACAGTCTGACCATTATCAGCGTCTATTATCATGTTCTCATACAAAGAATTTAACAAATTTTGAAAGCCAACATCCTTCAAGCATATATCAATAAGATTGCCTAAACTAAAAATAATAGGAATATGTCTAAAATACTTATTAATTTTTCTTTCCATTTCAAAAGTCATGTTTCCAAAATAATTATCCATACGATAATTAATAAAAAAAAGTTTGAATACTTAAAACTTGTAAAACAGCTTGAGTAATAGTTGGATAATAATAACCAGATAATAACATAGTAGCTTTATAAAAAAAACTTGTAGCATCTCTTTTACACCACATATAATTATCCATTTATCATCAGGTATTCCATATATACTACCAGAGCTAGAACTAGAAGCAAGTAAAGAAATAAAATTATTTATAATTTCTTTATGCTCTATTAGTACATTTAACATTGCATAGGTGAAATTTCACGGTCAACATCTTTTGGAATTAACTTGGGTTTCAAATTTTTACTTTTACAAAATTATTTTCCTCTTTTAAGTCTTTGTTCAGAAGCATTATGAGCATAAACTATGACCACAACCTCTTCTATCATATATTTAATTTCATTAAAAGCATTTTGAGCATTTAAATCTTAACTATGACACATGTATCTAATATGAAAAAGATCACAATGACATGGCAATAGCAAAGATGATTTAATATGATCAACAGCTACATTATTATTACTTACACTATCTAGTAAGAGAGAAAATATTCTTTTTTCAGAAATTTCTAATTTAGAAAGTTCTTCCATTATTAAATTTGCACCATTAACACCAGTGTGAATCTTTAAATGCAATAAAGAAACAACTCTTTTAAACATATGTCAAGTATTATCAATCTAATGTATCGTGATACATAAATAACCAGTTTGTGCTCTAGATATCCAAATATCAGAAATTAGAGAAAATTTATAATTTAAGTCTTGAAAATAAGAAATTATTTTTGTTTGTTCCTCATGATAATATTTTAAAATATCACGTTGATAAGACTAACGAGAATTTTTAAAATGCAGGATAAAAACCATCTATAATCATATTTTCAAATTTATCATCTTCTACTAATTTAAAAGGAATGTTTTTAATAACAATAAACATGTTGGCGTATTTCCTAGCTTTAATTGTGTCGTAGTTCCAAGAACTGAGGCTACCAGAGGTGGATGATTGAGAGAGTAGAGATGAGCAAATGTCTCCTTGAGACGTTCTTCCTTGCATTCTGTTGTGTTTTTCCAAATGGTGTTTGAGGTGGTTGGTGCCGCTCTTATGATGAGCTTGAAAAATATGGACGCATAGTGCATATTTGGGCTTTTGGGTGAGAAGTTTATAGTGTTGATCCATGTGACTTTTATGTTCTTGAAAAAAAATCCACACATCCGATCTAGGCCTTTTGGGAGATCTTAGTGTGAGATCATCACCATTGGAATCAGGTCAACATCGATAGTAGAAGGAGTAGCTGTAGGCATTGTAAGTGTAGTAAGACTCATTTTGGGATCGGAAGTTAGAACTTGTGCTTTATAATCGGATGAGGAAGCCATTTGATTTGAGAATTAGAAAGTATAAGAGAATATATAAGAGTATTAGAGAGAAATAGATGAGTTTTGGATGAGAAAAATAAATAAAAACTCACTCTATTTATAGAGACAACCATCTAACCAGATGACCGAAATACCCTCAAATTTTGGTCATTTTTAACTATTGTTGGGGGTATTTTGGTCAAGTACCCTAAAATGGCCAACATGGATGTTCGAACCGGACTGGGTCCATGCAGGCCTGGGCTGCCTGGTCCAACTGTTAGATTTTGACCATTGGACTAGGCCTGGTCCGAGCCGGGTCAACGGTCAAAGAATTGACTGTTGATCCCTGAGTCGGGCCAAACAGGTATGGCCATGTTCCCTGTTGGGCCGGGCTGGGTCCGATGTGGGAGCGGCCGAGGCGACCCGGACCCGGGCTTGGAGCCCGGTCAAGGCCGGAAACCCAAGTTTTTCTCGGGTCCGGGCCAGACACTGGGCCGAGTCCAGGCCTTGAGCCCGAATTGACACTCCTAGACCTCAGCTTAGAAGAAGAGAAGACTGCTCACGAATTGGAGTGAAGGAGGAAAACTCGAGCGTGAACAAGAATGAACAAGCTCATTTTCATTAGATCATTGTCATTTGAAATAATCTCAAAGGCCATTGAAGTCATATTGTTTGGTGTTGATGGAAGCTTTAAGAAGAAATTTTTGTGGACGAAGTATTGAGTGCAATCGAGGAGCGTTGTGCGTATATAGGAGTTCATGTTTGAGATTTCATATGTATGCAGCCGAGTTTCATTGTGGAAAAAACTTCTTTAGGATTTCCTCATCTTTTGTTAAATAATACTACACTAAGGGATGATGCTAGGGAGTCAACTTATATGCATCTGACATCAATAGATAAGAGCAAACCTCAGTTCCACCGCATTATGCATGGGATTAAATTGTTTATTTGGTGGCTTTACCAGGTCTTCTGCTAGTCCTCTTGCTAGAGCTGGTCACATTGATCGCTTAGAAGATCAAGGGAATGAGTATTCAGAGTTAGAAAAGTTCGCTTGAAATATTTCCATTATTAATTGCACGGTGCCTGTCATACTATCTCAATACAAATATTTGCATATTCTCAACAATCTTAGCTCATGCATCTAGTGGCAATAGTATTGATTTAATAAAAAAAAGTATTTTCATAATAGTCATTTTGATATACAAATAGAACTTATAATGAGTAACGACAAAGTTCATTTTGTTGCATCCTCAAAATAATAAAATGACAGATTATTAACAGTTCATTATAATTTCGAGCATTTTATCGTTTCAATTTTCGAACTAGTTCACAAACATGCATGGTGATGATGTAGCATTAGAAATTTCAACCACCTCACACCACCAAGGAGCGAGTATTCACCCAAAAAAAAGGTAGTTATTTGATTCTTCCCTTTGTTTTGAATATTTGATGCTATATGAAATTCTGTTCAACACAATATATGACAATAATACACATTCAAAGCACGTTAACACATAAATGCAAGTGCTGTAGAGAACGATAATAATCATTCCAAAATAGGCTGAACAAAGCTCACACTGATAATCTACAGCACGGTTTTGGCTGCTGAAATCTTGGGTGAAGATTAAAATAGGGTAAGGGTTTTGGAAAATCTTTAATAATTCTGTTCTTTTACTTCTTTCCATCTCGCGGCTCAATTATATCCATATGTTTCAGCTCTTACAGGCTGACTTGAAACTTGGCAAGCTCAGCACCCATTGTTCAAACTTACAAATCGTCCTCAAGTTCACATCCATCATAATACATATATCCCTCTAGAGAGGGTCGCGAAATCCATAATATTAATAATAATAAAAAAAGGACATGCCTATTTGTTCCATAGAGGATAATCTCATATTAATATTATTGTAATTCTACAAAAATACAACAACATATATAGAGCCAAAGCTACAACTACAACAATTGATCCTCAGCAAACCACAAAGAGTTGCTGACTTGTCGGCAACAGCTTGATTACATACTGTACATATACTGCCAAAAAAGAGAATGGTGATATTAAACAGACTTCACAAATGTTAACAGGAATAGTGCAAAAAATGAACATGGTTAAGCTGCTAAATTAAATAACATGCGTGAAACAGACAATAATCCTACCATCGCAGCAGCATTTAAAAAAAACACTGATATGTTAATATACCGATAAATTGTGGCTTGCCTGGATCTCAATAGAACCTTGTCACGTTAATGGTTTCAATAGAACCTTGTCACGTTAATGGTTTCAGTTCCTAGTATTCCGGCCAAATAAAAGACCAAGATAGTTTGAGAATGTTTCCGCAATTGAGATTAAATACAAATATAATAAGAGTACAGTAAAGAACCAACTAGGGGGGGTTATTCATTGGTGTAATTTTAGGGATATGGGGATAATTTTTGGAACAACAATGTTTGGTGTTATTCATTGGGGTATTTGGAACTGGAGCCAACTTTGTGGTGTTATTGGTTTGTTGGGATAAATGGGGGACAAATACCCCACTTTGCCCCAAGTTACCCCAACTATATAATCACTCCTCAGCCCCACCCTCCAAATTTACCCCATTTTTTCCCCTGGAACAAGAGGAGAACAGAATTACCCCACTTCCGTTCTCAAGCTCCATCGTCGCCGTGCTCGAGCTCGATCGCCGCTCCGCCGTCGTCGTTCCCGAGCAGGGATTTCCCCACTACCATCTCCTCCGCCTCCTCCTCCGCTTCCATCCGCCGCGGGAAGTACACCGGAGCTGTGCACAGGAGATGGAGGCGACGTAGGAGGCCGCGGCGGAGGAGGGGTGGGGACGGTGGGTGATCAATCTCAACCTCGTCGTAAGCCCTCTATCCTCCTTATTTTACTTGAATCCGACGAATTTCTCAACAATTTACAACTAGGGTTTGTTTTTCCCCCATTTCAAATCACCCCCTTTTAACCCGTGTTTTTGATGAGTTTCTCAATTTGGGTCTCTCTTTATTTCGATGAATTAGGGCATTTCTACACCTGTCCATTGATTTTGAGCTTGTATGGGTTAATGGGTAGCTGTTTTAATTTCTACTGAAGTCCATTGATCGTGGGGGGGAAATCTACGTTTTGTGGTGAATAGTTCTCTGTTTCTATTGGGTTGGAACTGATGTATTGGAAGATGATCAAAACAATTGACATTAAATACAAATATAATAAGAGTACAGTAAAGAACCAACTCACAAAATAATATGGAAGAGTCAGTGAAACTACTTTTGTGGAAATCATACAGTTGCAAAGAGCTAGAGATAACCAAATAACAAAACTAGAGAGGTTAAAAGATCCATTCTCAAACTACAGACTTGAATTTTCCCAGGGGAAAACATAGTGACCAAATAGTTGGTTGTTTTATCATTTGAATGACAGAAATAAATATTATTGTATCAAGCATAAGCTGATGTACAATATAACAATAATTGTTGCATTCACATTGAGTATCAATATATTTGGACATAAGTGATAGCCTGAAGAAATATTTCTATTCTAAATCTCTCAAAATAGCCTTCGAACATTACCCCTATCTAGTCAAAAATCCATGCAGAAGAAGGATTTGGCAATCTCTTCATACATCCTGCGAGTTCGGTGGCTAAATAAAGTTTGGGAAGAGATAAATAGAAAGTACTATTTGCCAGGCAGAAGAAAGATTTGGCAGGCTAATCATAGATCCTGCCTGTTCAGTGGCTAGATAAAGTTTGGAAGTGATAAAAAAGAGTATGGACACATACCTTGCCTCTATTTCAACCTAAATTTTCTTTGATAGAGCACTTTTTATCCAGTCACAAAGTTGATTAATTAATAACAATGTAACATCATGAGTATATTTAAAAGGGGTCAGCTTGCTACTAGCTATTCATGAGGCTTGTCAAACAAAATGGTGCCTTGAGGATCATAATGTGATCTTGAACCTATATCAAATGGCAGACTTTAACTTGTTCCTTAAGATCCCAATGCAACAAAGATAAAAAAATATTGCTGTTCTGGGTAATGATCTAAGCAGGAACAGAACCATATAAGAGTTCAGGTTGGGCAAGTACTCAACCTGAATTTGGAGGAGTTTATACTTGTAAAAGGCTAATGCATCCATAAAGCAATCTATATTTACATGAGTTCCACTCTACAATATCTTTTAGTTAGTGTCAAAGACAAACGTCTGACCTTTAAACTTTAGTAAACCTAGGGTTACATTGTTCATCTCAATCAAATCATAGATTCAATTTTAATATACATAAATTGATAGTATCCCTTCAATTTTGGGTATAAGAATTACGGCTTATAGATTTTATCTTATATAAAATGTCAAAATACACTTTTTTATGAAACAAAATACATCAATTCTAAAAATTATGCTTAAGTTTTAGTAACCAAATCTAGATAAAAATCCTGGCTCCGCCTCGCCTCTGGAATTATGACATTGATTTTCTTTATGAAAATTAAGGAGGTATACCACATATGAAGGTTGATGTTAGCCGATTAACATAATGGCAAAGTTTGACATTGAGCGTTATAGTTCACATATTAAAGAAACAAATGAAGAAATCAGCCTTTAAGAGGCCAGAAACAAATACTGAGAACTTTTGAGTTATAGGAATAGCAAAACCTAGAGTGATGTTGTTCATCTCAATCAAATCATAGATTCAATTCTAATATAGATAAATTGATAGTATCCCTTCTATTTTGGGTATAAGAATTACGGCTAATAGATTTTATCTTATATTAAATGTCGAAATATACTTTTTATGAAACAAAATATATCAATTCTAGAAATTATGCTTAAAGTTTTAGTAACCAAATCTAGATAAAAATCCTGGCTCCGCCTCGCCTCTAGAATTATGACATTGATAATATTTATGAAAACTAAGGAGGTATACCGCATATGAGGTTGATGTTACCCGATTAACATAATGGCAAAGTTTGACATTGAGCGTCATAGTCCATGTATTAAAGAAACAAAAGAAAAAATCAGCCTTTAAGAGGCCAGAAACAAATACAGAACTTTTGAGGTATAGGAATAGCAAAACCTAGAGTGACGTTGTTCATCTCTATCAAATCATAGATTCAATTCTAATATACATAAATTGATAGTATCCCTTCAATTTTGGGTATAAGAATTACAGCTTATAGATTTTATCTTATATTAAATGTCGAAATACACTTTTTTATGAAACAAAATATATCAATTCTAGAAATTATGCTTAAGTTTTAGTAACCAAATCTAGATAAAAATCCAGGCTCCGCCTCGCCTCCGGAATTATGACATTGATTATCTTTATGAAAATTAAGGAGGTATACCGCATATGAAGGTTGATGTTAGCCGATTAACATAATGGCAAAGTTTGACATTGAGCGTTATAGTCCATGTATTAAAGCAACAAATGAAGAAATTAGCCTTGAAGAGGTCATAAACAAATACTGAGAACTTTTGAGTTAAAGGAATAGCAAAACTATGACAATCTCATCTCATCAAAGTACAAGCTCATTGGACGAAGCAAAATAGACACCCATCATTCCCATTATTTTGGTCACTTTTCTCCATAGTTCAAGGCCAGCTTTACATCAAATGTGCAGCCGACCAGCTTAATCTAGATCATGCCCCAGTGGTCTTCAATTTTCATCACCAAAGTCTAACTAACACACTCAAATTCAACAATACTGCATCATTATTAGTGGATCACAGGCATCCTCACCATATACCACGGTACCACCAATCGATCTAATTATTAATTAAAGAAAGCTTTGGTCACATCAAAATGATACATCCATATTCAATTTCACTGCAGGATAGAAGGAAACAATGGAAATTACATGAGGCTCAACACCAAGAAGAAATACAATGAAAGAGGTCCAAAGGAAGTTTATTAATATGTGATACTGAATTATGTGTCAAAATTGGATCCTGCATCCAGTAATATGTTAGCATCATCCTAACAAGGAAAAGCCTTTGCTGATATCCCCCCTAATGAACTATACTGAAAATGTGAAGCAAGTTCCTTCTGTTTAAACTTCTAAGAAATTGTTGAATCTCAAATATATATTTATGTCACTGCTGACAAATCCGAAAACAACTAGAACATCCAAAATGTGAACAAATGATCATCCACAAAACAACTACACCACTGTCCTGACCTCTTGTTGTTGCCGAACTTTGCCCGCAAAAGCATGAAGCATTCTACTTTTCCTAATAATATTTTAACCTTTATTTCAACAACTCCAAGAGCCTGTAAAGAAGTGGAAGTCAAGTAAATTGAACTCTTCTAAATCTAAATTATGCCCTTATCTTAAACAGTATTTTGATGCAACTAAAGTTAATAACTTAATATGTAAAAATAACATCTATCCTTCAGTCCTTCTTATACAACTAACACTACAACTAAAGTTGTATATGTCCACACTTATTTTATGATACATATAATTTTAATTGCAAAGGATTAAACAATAGCGGCACAAATAAAAAGTGTGGCAAATCACGACACATATTTGTGCCATTAGATATATATAATTAAATATAATTGAAAAAGGTTAATAGTCTATCATGGATTGTGAGAGGATTTATTGATAAGCTTAAATAATAAATCTTAGATTTTAATTATGATGACCATTAAACATTGATGATAGTGTATAAGTTAAAAAACTCCATAGTTAAGTGTGCTTTGGTGAGAGTAATCCTAGGATGGATGACCTTCTGGGAAGTTATACTATTGAATGACAATATTGTTTATATTTTTATGGTCTAGATACAACTATGTGTCACCATTCTTGACACATGTATGTGTCACGAGTTTTGTGACACAAATATGTGTCACCACTCTCGATATATATATATGTCCTGAATTTTGTGACACATTCTCAAATGTGTAAAAAGACACTCTCCGCACATGTTCTAACCACACTTTTGGTATATGTAGCGCTCTATTTGTGTGACACAAAAATGCGTAGCGTAGAAACAAAAATGTATCATAACTTACAACTTTTGTTGTAGTGTAAAAAGTTCATTATGATCAAACTAACATCCACACTGAATAACATATGCATACAAGGTAAATGAAACAATGCGCATTGTGCAATCTTTGATTTTCAAATTATGCTAAAACCAACTGACGACAAACTAATCAAATTCAGCAAATCAGCAATCAGCGACACTTGATCACCATAACATACCTCAAACACCATAAATTCCACAATCACTTTTTTATTCATCATCAAAATAACAACCATCTTTTTTTACTCAACTTCAAAATTGATTACGATAGATTGATATTTTAGACCCTTTCACTATTTAAAACATAAAAAAGCCAAACTGAATTTGACATAAAATACCTACATATGCAAACTCCACAAGCCTGCATACAAAACACAATCAACAGTGTGCAATCTCGGATTTCAAAAATATGTTTGATTGTACATACACCCCATGTAATATAAGGGTGTATCCAGTTACATCTCCTAAATAATTTTATTATCATTTACCCCCTCTAAACTACAGATGACATTATTTATTCATGTCACATAGGAATCGCCTGACGATATACAATCATTTGCTTAACTGAAAAATACCAACTTACAGTCTAAATAGAGGACGAGACTAAAAAGTTGTCTGAATTGGTGTGTAAGTGATAATAAAACAGTAACTATTCAAATTATGATAAAAACAACTAACAATTCAAACTTATCAAATTCATCAAAACTTCATTAAAAAAATTTAAATAAAAAAATCAAAGCTTTGATGCACCACAACATACCTCAAATCACCATCTCCTCACTCCTCCATCCCCTCCTCCCCCGACCCAGCCATCTCCC